TCGTTCGTGACTCTATTCTTTTTTCCCCTATTTGAGTGTGCGGTTAAATGTGCCGATGCATATGTGTTTTTATATGCATGTATAAATATAGTTTATAATATAAAAACATATATTGCGAATAATAGTATGTGTATTTTTTATTTGATTTTAATTTATTTCCCTCCTGTTATTCATTGTCACAAGAGGAAATAATTCCTTAATATCATGTTCTTATATATTATCTATATCTCATATTAAAATTTTATACATACCCTACTTATTTGTAGTTTAATTCTATAAGTGTACCTCTGAATTATCATTAAGAAATTTTTATTTTTTGTCTCTTATATATTATATATATCGTTTGTTATACAATAGTACGATAAAAAGAATATTAAAATTATTTGTCACTTTATTTTTCTTCTCATATACCTATTGTTCCCGCACAGAAATTGCCCATTCGATCTATGAAGAATCGACATTTTATGTGTGTATATACGCTTGTATGTGCGTATTGGATACGTAATCGATTGATAACAAATAAAATATCGAGAATTAAACGCGAAATCCTCTGTCCCCTCGAAGTGAATTTCAGACACCGCGCCAGCCGCAGCAACTGATCGGTTTTCAGTCCGGTTTCAGCGAGAGACGCGTAAAAGCACTTCGAACGGAACGGAGCGAATACCACCGCACAGCTTAATCCAATATCGCACGCAAAAATACGGCACGAGTATTAGCGGGGCATTATACAAATTTTGCCGCGATCACGGTTTACCGTCGCGACCGACGGTACGTAATGGCGCGGCGATGACGGGCGTCATAACTGCATTACAGCGCTTTTTACACGCGCTGAGATTGCTTCGTCGCCGCGCAATTTCTCTTGGGTCGTTTCTTTCGTCGCGGCTCGTATTCCGAATCCAACGAGAAATATTTTCTCCCTGCCGCGCCGTTGCGAAGCATCCGAGTGCACTGTACGAGTGGTCTTAGAAATTTCATTAGTTTTATTAAAACCAAATTGAAACACATATAAGAGTTGAAGAGAAATAGAAGATATGTACGAGCTATCAATTAAATAGAATAAAATATAAATTAATGCAATGTGCTGAAGTAATTTTCAAAATGTGTTTTAATGCATGCGTTATATGTACGTCATTTATCACACAGCGTGTAATATCAATATAATATTGTAACACCATTCTTTATTTTTATGAAACACGTTAATCCATTACGCGAAATAAAATGTTTTATCGAGATTTAATATTGCGATAATTTATATTATATAAAGGCAGGCTAACATATTTGGCGGGTTTAAATTAATTATTACATGCAAAAATAAATGTGTGTGTTATATCTTTGCATACACTCGTACAGCAACGAAAATTAAGAGAATAATAAAATGGCATTATAATCTCATTTTATTTCAAGTATCGATACTATTATACAGATAAAATTATCGTTACGCCAAGTTTATTGGCAAATGTTTTTTTTTTTTTACCCATATCCTCGCTTCTATCTCAGAACTATGCCAACATCGCTTCACAAAGGAAAAGCGCCTATTCGACGACACGCGAATAAAAAGCGGTAGGGAAATCCGTGTCTTTGAACAAGGATTCGATAACGGTTTGTCGCTAGAGGACATTGATAACTATCGGTAGACTGAACCTGTTTCGCTATATGTGCACCGATCGAATTCACTGTATATCTGCATTTGAAAAATCTGCACGAGTCGCGCTTGTCCGCGTTACATTGCCACATTTCTCATTTACTTGTTCTTATTATTTGTGCTACTAGAATGAAAATTTACTTTTGTAAACTTGAGATATTTTATAAAGTAAATAATTAACTAATAGAAGCTAATTATCTTCTATTTTCCCTGCAACATGATAGAAATGTTAAATTCTATTTCTGACGATTTCATACTTTGCTGCTCCAATAGTCAGAATATTTAATTATCTAATTATTCGTCTGTATAAAGGCATATATAGAGACATTAAAATGATAGCTTTTAACGATTTAATGTTCGGCAACGAACGTCAGAATTCGTATATCACTTTTCGCCACCTAACCGAAAGATGGTCTAGCTAAAATGACGTGCATTCGCATTACGACGCTAATAAGCTCCGAATAGAGCTCTGAGACGCGAAACCGCTGACTCCATTCGCAGAGCCGTCCCGTAATATTCTGTATTTCATATGTCGCAAGTCTGTTATGCGGCGCGTCGGGCGACATATTAAACGCTGTAGGCATTTTCCGTGGCGACGTATCGCGTCAAAGATAATCAGGTCGCATCGTGTTTTCGATAAACTTCAACGTGATGAAATTATCCCGCATAGTTTTCGGTCGCGTCGCGGTACGTTCGCCGTGAGCAAATGGTAGTTGTAATGTGTTTAACTATCAAGCGAGAACTCTGCCGACGCGACGTTTGTGAATAAATAGCGGACGCTTCCGCGTCGTGCGCATTTTACTCAAGTTTCACACACGCATATCCCAATAATCTGTATCGTATCGAAAATGAGAGAAGATAATTAAATATGACGTACGGGATTTGTCAATTAACGGATTTTAATATAATACCATGTAGAATGATATGGAGAAACATATCATGCTCTCGCATTTGGAGTAATATGACGGTATTACCTTTATGTAATCATTAAAATAAATATAAATTCCACGTTGATATATTTTAGCGATTGATCATTTACTGGTTCACTTATCCTACTTAATTACTTGTCATTAGAGAATGGATACATTTGTAACATTAATAATATAAAAGAGTGTTGTTTTCATCGCAAAAACATTTCCCGTTCTCCTTCGCGGTATACGACGACTGATTTAAATCAAAGGAATTGTAGGCGTGTCGTGTTCCAATTAAGTGAAGAATCTGTTATGTAAATCGAACGCTATCGATTACGCCTTCGACAAAGCGCCACGGCGAATTTACGAGCAAATATCCGAGCAACGACGACAACGGAGCGTAACTGTAACTTCTCCAATTCAATTACCGCTAAAAATATACAGATAGTATCTATATTTTAGCTCGGCGCGTTTAAATAGCGGTAATTTTGGAGAACTTGCATTTATGCCAGTTTGTCGCAAATAAGTTGCTACAGAAGATCAACACTATGTTGCTCCAGTTGCTTAGTCAGCGATTGTACAATTTGATTTAGAGGAAACTCGAGTGATTTCTAACTTCATTGCGTGCGCAACATCCGAGGTAACCCCTTTGAAGTCTAACCCAGTTCGGTCGGAAAGTTTATCGCTGATCGAGTTATCGACTTACGATTCGCCATTTTAATTATTCGTCGATCAGTTATAGTATGTCAACGAGATGAGCGATGCGGGGTCAAGCGTTCGGTCTTTGCCCCCCTCCCCTTCCAAAAAAAACAGGGTACTTCATCCACGTTCAATTTCTCAAACGCATCTGCGGGGCGACATCAGTTTTATTTAAACGCGACACGAAGAGAAATATATTTGTAGCGAATGGGATTGCCGTATGCACGTGAAAACATAATAAATCAAACGCCGACGGCGACGTCCCGCGCCACGTAGAGTCTAACAAAGAAATCTTTGCTAACGGCGCCTTATTATCATTCCCTGTCATGCGACATGAATATAATAGACGAGAACTCATTGAACGTCCCCCCGTTGTACTTTCACCAAGAATTCTATATCGTACCTTTGAAATCACGCGATCTCGGGATAGAACGCTGCCGTCGTTTTTATCAACGCAAATTTTTCTCTTCATTTATACCCCATATCCGAGTGTCGAGTCGCTTTGTTTCGCACGATCATATTTTACGTCGGAAAAAAGTTATACACGATAGCTCGTATACAAGGCGTCATAAGGTTCCCTTCGCTTTTATCCATTTAAACATATTTTTTTAATCTAATTTGCGAGATAATTTTTCTTGACAAAAATATCGAGATAGCGACAATTTATGAATAATAATTAGAGATTTAAAAATTCCGCTTTCGAAGATATGAACTTCAGGCAATTGTAATTACATAACAAAACCTTATTTCTCATTTATATAAATACTGAATAGTATTACCAAGTACTTGAATTTGAAATTTTTACGAAAAAAGTTAATTGCTAGTGATTTGTTATACACTTGACTTTAACTAACTAAAAATTACGAATAGATAAATCTAGATTGTAATTATGTAGATCAAATTCTTATTCTCTCTCTTGTATTCTAGATATTTAAAAAGTTATTATATAATGATGGAGTTTCTTATACACTTTTAATAAATACATATATCTACATTTGCTCTTGTATTTTTCATATGCGATTTACCGAATGTCAATAGAAAGAATGTTACGTCAGTTTGTGAGAGATATTCGCGTTCGTGACGCAGATCCGCATACATATGCACACTCCTACACGCGTATGAATGTATGTTTCCCCGCAGATCGTTTTTACACTATAACATTTTAGAACACAACGAAATAGTAAATCGATACTCGGTACCCAAGCTATCGATATGCTGCACAGCCTCTGGCCGAAACGCGATACGGCAGCCTTTGCCAAAATCGACGGATAGCCATATCCGGTTGTCGAAAGGAAGTGCTTGCTTCTGCACCATACCTTTTGCTAAAACGCGCTGTTTCCGCTGTTTTTCCATTTTGTTCGCGTACACGAGTCACCACGTATCGCCCATCTTCGAAAAGCTTCAAGCACATGGAATAATTTTTTTCACTTTCTTTTACGCGTACATTGATGTACAAAATTTTCGATGTGTAATAAAAAACCGTTTATTAATATTATTAATATTAAGAGAATTCCGTATCGTCCAAAACCAGCTCAACATCGTACTGAAATTCTGTTTGGAACTTTGGAACTTTAATGAGTTTATGAAATATTAATTATACAGATGTCTCTCATAGCCGGAACATCATTTAAATATCTCAGCCTAAATATTATGTGAATTAATTAAAACTCTCTGGTATATCGGGAACGCGCCCGAAAGTGCGCGAGCATCCAACGAGGCGTTAACGAGATTGTAACTTTTGATTTCAGTGCGAGAAGTAACGTTGTCCGAACTCAGGGACTCGATAGCGAGGTTACGGGAGAGAGTGAAGCTAGTATGCAGGACGAGGGGTTCGCCGCCCCCGAGAGTGCACTGGCTGAAGGACGGTGTACCGCTGCACCCCCGAAGAGGCCTCAGGATTCAGCACAAACGGTGAGCCCGACCGACTTTACCATTAACCGCACGCTCATGGCGGCTTCTCTGCCCCCCCCCCTTTCCCCCCGCTTTCCCTCAGCTTTCGGCAACCTCTCCGTAATAACACGTCGGAGAAACTATTCAGACAACGGCGAGCAGTTAATTCTAGATATCCGCAATAGCAGAGAGTACGTTGTTCTAGCTCGACACCCGCTCCAACTCCGAGCGCTATCGATACACTATTGGATGCCTGCCTGAGAGTAGTTTTCGTTATTAGGTAGGATAGAACGGATTTGAGCGGTTCTTAACTTTCACTCATAACAGTTTTTGTGATAGCGTTTGGAATACAATGTACCTTGTGGAAACGCAATGTAGAATGGAATAATGAAAAAATAGAGTAATAATTTATAATCAAGAACACATAAGAGCTTTCTCAAAAAGAGAAAAACATAAAAGAAGCAGATGGAAAAGTAATTAACAAATTATAATTAAAAAATAATATAAAGTAGAATTCGCTTTTAAATAAATTTTTTGATTTTGTTCATGTTTAAAGCGAAAAAGTGATAATAAGTATCTTAAATTATTCACGTATATTAAAAGGAAATAAGCATTTTAATCATTCACTGCAATCATTTATTGGGATTACCTTTTAATCAAATTTAATTTATTTATTCATATTAATTCGCGTGCCCCTAATTTTTCAAAATAATTAACGTCAATTAAGTAAAATATTATTATTTATTTTCACGTGCGCGTGATGACAATATGTAAGTTGCGGGACAAACATGAAGAACGGCAAAGTACGGCTCGTCACGAGAGTGAAGAAACTACGAGAGTTAAGAAGAGAGCAATGTGTGCTTTTCTCACAGTTCGATGAGTTTTAACGAGCTTTCGAACTCGAATTGCAAGTAGTAGTCGCGACAACTTCGCTCGCGTTTAGTAAGCTCGAAAATAGCCCGCGTCCAATCCTCGCGCACTTAGTCGGATGAAACGTAAAAAACAGTCATCGCGAAAATTGCGACATAGGCGTTCTGTCCCGAGAAATCTTACGCACCGCGTTGTACGATGTTGAATATTTTAACGTCGTAGATTTATGCATACGCTCTGTATACCGTTAAAAATTGAAAAGTATCTTTTAATCAATATATAAGTTTTCGTGTATCTTAAAAAATAGTATACACACATGTTTGTACTTACACAAAATTACTTCCACGAGCCAAACTGACGTTCTTCAACTATTATATTGCATTTTAACATATTGAAATTCGAAGATATTATTGTATTGCCTCGAATATGTCTTATTAGAATTTTTTGATTTTATTAACAGTGTTATATTTATTTGGATATAAAATAAACATTTATTTGAATATAATATATTATTGTGAAATAATTATTTCTCTATACGATCGAGAGAGATACGAGATACGCGCGACTTTCAGGTATAATAATATTATTCGTGCACAATATGCTAAAAGCAACATTAAGAAGCAAATACTCTCGCAATATTATTAGGATTATTAGCATAATTAGCGTCTTTTCCTTTCTGCATGAAAATGCAGAATGCTTCTATGCTTCTGTTCCTATACCGATAGCAATTTGCTAAAAAGCTGAAAAATGTAAACATGTTTTGCAACGACTATGTTGTACAACAATTATTTATTTATTTAGCCATTTTCTTTGCGCAGTAAAAATGCTTCCAGATTTATGACAACAGGCCTTGGAAGCTATGAAATAATTTTTTTTATCATTTTTTCAAATCGAAATCGAAATCATGCTCAACAAATGCGCGAGAATGAACGTTCTCAATAAGAACGTACACATACTCGCGCCGCTTAATGTAATATGAACGTAATTGCCGCTGCAGAATGAGACATCCGTTTGCAATCAATCATAACATTAGCTGAAGTCCATTGCGCGACATTTTTCATCGATCATCACAAGCGAGCCCGATATAATCGCTAAAACGTGCATGTGTGCCTGCCTTTGATTTATACGACGTTAATTGCCATCACTGCGCGCTATTTTGACATTAGACATATTAGATTAAGTCATTAGATTAAAACGAAGCTGGTTTCGTGATACCAATTTATGCAATCACGCTACCTTGCTAACCGCTTCATTTTTTCTTTCTCTCTTTTCAGTCAGCATTATTGCGAGACGGCTGTGCCGTCTTATTATACTCTTATAATACATCATACTTTCCTGAATATTTTGCGAGATGTCGATTTAATCGCGTTTCGCGAATTATTCGCAATGATGATAAATAATGTTTATCGAAATTTGTTTTCGCCACAAGTTTCTATCTGCGTTGAACTCCGCGCATACGTAAACAATCAATCATCATGAAATTTAATCATGATTGGTAATCACGTTGCTTTCTAATTGACATTACTTATCGATAACAGTTGAGCTACCTCGAAAAGAACGTATAGTATCGTGAGACATTATGTTATATGTACAAAAACGACTATAACCAATTATTGAAACATTTTTGAAACAACAAAAGGTCTTTGCAACATAAAAATTATCAGACTAAAACAGATTCTGTTACTTTAACTTTCCAGCATGACGATCAAAAGACATGCAAACTGTAACAGACAGGATATCTTATATATTATACATATATATATATTATTCTGTTGATTAAAAAATGCAATATTTCTAGCTTTAATTTTAAAAACACCTACATAGATGTGTAGAAACTATTTAACATTTAAAGTGCAAACTCAAAGCGCCTCTTTCAAATATAATTACAGCATGTTTCACAGTAGGAGTCGGTCTCATATTAGGTTCTATGTATTTACGAGCGAGGAGAAGTTTTAACGAAAAGAAAATAAATTGAGAGAATATCCTGCCGTGATCGACGCTTTCGTGAAAGCGCACGGCTTCATCCGAAAGCAAAAGAGAGAAGACAGCTGAGACGGGAGCAGAATTTCGATTCGGAAAACTCGCCGGGGAGCTCTCCAGCTACTTCTCGTCGGCCATAATCTCGAGCGTGCCATAAATTTGTTTAGCGCGATGCACCTTTCCTCGGCGCGTAAGTCTCGGAATAATCTCAGAGCGGCCCATAAATTCGCCGCCGCTCGCGCTTTCTCACCGAGCCACCCGTTATATCCCAGCCATGATGGAAATGGATCACGTTCGGCGAGACCACGTCGCTTTCCGAAGTCGCTCTTACACGGCACGCATTTTCTGAAATAACTTGCAAATCTCTCGCACCGACTCGCGCAAGCTTTTTATCCCGCGTCTCTGGCACTTAATGTCCAAAACTCACCTTTCCTTCCATAAGTTAACAATCCGTTAATTAAAGAGAAAGATACAAGTTCATGCGTTTTTTTTTTAAGTCCGTTAAATTGATAGTTATTGACTATGTATAATTTTTAATTAGATATATCGATTAGTACGCAACAAAATTGACAGTTGTCTTCCACAAATATCAAGATGGTTTCTCCTATCTCTTATTTTAAATTACTGCACATGCCCGCATCCTGTGTAAAATAAGGAAAGTATCGCTACGAACATTTATCTGTCAGGTCGAACCCACAAAGACGAAAGGAACGCGAAGGAACGACATCGTGATCTCATAAAACATAGTGGTTCTTAACCAGATGTTACATAATCCTTCGGGGTTACGAAACATCCCTTCCGGGGATACGCGAATTATTCTAAATTTCTGAATAATATATATAGAAATACGATATGAAATAATTCTTCATTGATAAATAAAAGAAATTAGACGCAGTCTCTGCGTGGCTGCGTGAACGAATTCCGAGACTCTCAAAGACATCGCTTTACACCGGCGCGGAGGGTGAAGAACCGCTGCTACTACCGGCGGAAGAAGAGGCCAGTCCGATGACCGTAAACACATCTTCACGGTGGCAAGAGAGTCGTGCCGTAGTGGCCTTATGACATCGCACCCCGATCGAGAATGTCCCCGTGCCGAGAATGTTCCCCAGTAATTTCCAATTACTGTCTCTCTGCGACGGGATGACCGGGTGCTGCGTCTCTCGTGCGCGCACGCTGTCAATGTCATCCGCCCCGTAATCCTTGCCGGATACAACGGCGGTGTCGTAAAATCGAACGTGTTCGCGCTATTTAATACGAGTCATGTGCTCGATGGATCTCCTTTCCCCGCTCGCGCCGTCGGCGTCGTCGGCCAGCTCCGCTCGCATAACCGACGACGTAAAACTGTCATCCGCCGCTTAAGCTTGTCTAGACTGGGCGGCGTGTATTTTATAGATGATGGTCCCGCCGGGCACGGAAATATATTCCGGGCCTTTGTGTCCGCGCGATACATCGGTAAATCTCTTTCACTCGCTCGCTCGCTCTCTTTCTCTCTCTTTCGTCTCTTTCTTCCTCTCTGATAGCTCCCGCGCGTTTAGCAAGAACTGCCGAACAAGTGCGAGAAATATTGAAATTTCAGGTGACGAACGCCGATACTTGGCTCGAAAATAAACCTGTAATCTTGTCAAATCGTTGACGTGATATATAAAACAAAGCGGATGTACGATAGCAACGCTCAAGTCAAAAGATACGAGCTTTCTATTCATTTGGTTTCAGAAATAAAATAAGGATGAGACAAATCCCATATGTTCTCGTTTTCGAAATACTATCTAGATATACTTCTCGTGGGAAATCGAATTTCTGTATGTAGCAACTGTCATTTTTATTTTCATTTTCTGAAACTCACATGGTAATATGAATACTTATTTCATATTTCGCCGTACATTCAAGAGTAAATGGAAAAATTGAAAGAAATTATTTCCCAAAATAAAAAATGTTAAAAAAATGATGTGCCCAAACATAATTAATAAAAATTAATGTTTGTGCATATCTATAAAAATAATTAATAAAAAATAATTAATTTTGATTTAAATCAAAAATTGTAAAAAACAGTGTCACTAAAAAGAAATCTTTTAACAAATTTTTGTGAAAATAATTCCCTAAAAAAAGATGTAGAAAAAAATAATAAATGCAAAAGAAGTTAAACGAATTAGCCAAGCTTTATAAAGTTGCAT